ATATATGCATTTCACAGGGAATTCTGCAAGGTAACTACCTGAGATCTTTTGGCCTGTAGCTTAACACTGCTCTGAGCCTTGTCCAAAACTGAGGCTGTATTATTTTAATGTTTTCAGATGGTCAAGACCCAATATAAATGTTTTAAACATGAAAACTCGAAATAAAAAGAACCATCTTGGAGCCAGCCCTGTAGCCAATTGGTTGAGTTCACACGCTCCACTTTGGGCAGCCCAGGGTTTCGCTGATTTGAATCCTGGGTGCAGACACGGCACTGCTCATCAGGCCATGCTGAGGCAGCATCCCACATACCACAACTGGAAGGACCCACAGCTAAAAATACACAACTATGTACCGGGGGGCTTTGGGGAGAAAAAGGAAAAATAAAATCTTAAAAAAAAAAAAACATCTTAAGAAGCATCATAATGGTGTAATCAATAGTGTAGCTAACGCCAAATGGTATAGAGGTTAATAGCAAGAAGAGCATGCTGAGTGGTAAAGAACAGGTTAAGAATCAGGTGCAGGGGGCCGGCCAGGTGGTATAGTGATAAAGTTCATGCACTTTGCTTCGGTGGCCTAGGGTTCACAGGTTCGGATCCCAGGCGCCAACCTAGCCCCACTTGTCAAACCACACTGTGGTGGCATCCCACATAAAATAGAGGAAGATTGGCACAGATGGTAGCTCAGGGTGAATCTTCCTCAAGCAAAAAGAGGGAAGATTGGCAACAGATGTTAGCTCAGGGCCAATCTTCCTCACGCACACAAAAAGAATCAGGTGCAGATCCTAACCATGATACCTGCTAGCAATGTGACCTTAGACAAGTTGCTCAGTATTTCTGAGTCTCAGGTTTTGCATCTCTAAAATGAGAATGATAATGTTATTGTAAGGATTCAATGAGATATTTATACACAGATGCACTTGGCACAGTTTCTAGCACATCTAGAACATAGCAAATGTTCAAGAAATGGTAGTTATCATCAGTATCTTCTGTGATATGGGATCATTGCTAATAAATAAGGAGTTACCCAAATGTTCTTGACACAAATCATCACTCTGTGTTAATTTGTACATTATCTATCTATGCACTCTTTTCTGGGTAGTTCTGTGGAGGAGGCAGTACTGAAGCTCCAGGGTAGAGGAATTCCTCAGCTAGCCTCCTTTAATTGGAGATGTAATGGTGTGCATGGGAGAATAACATACGTTCTTTTAGATTTGGTCTAGTATTAAACTAATAGCTAGAAACCAGACCCGTTCCTCCCACTCCCTGTCACTTCAATGAGGGCTTTTCCAAGTTTAGCCAAATCTCTTCAAGCAAAGCACCAGCATATTTGTTTGACATGATGAACTTTATGACCTTGTTTCTCTGGGTCAGGATTTCCGTGCATCCTTAGCGCCCATTAGCTGAGATAAGCACACCGTGAAGGATGCATTGCCTATGTGCCAGGCATTCCGCTGGTATTCTCACAACTTCACTTTTCATCCTCCCAACAACATTTGAGACTGGCATTAACTTCCTCACTTTACAGGTGAGAAAACTGGAGATCAGAGAAGTCAGGTAACTCACCCAAAGTTGACTCGTGGTAGAGTAAACCAAAAGCAGCAATGGAGGTTACACCAGCTCAGTTTTACCGCAGTTATTTGTCAATATAATTTTGAATGTCTTTATTACTATAAAAACATTTCTTAGCAGGACTCAGGGGCCTAAGGTAGCACCATCAGCATCAGGTCCGGTTACCTACAATCCCTGAAGGCAGTAGGGATTTCACGGGAGCAATTTATGTCTGATAGAAGCCTTTGGCAAAGTAATTGAGAATGAGAATGAAAGGAAATAAAATATAGTGCTTTTTGACTTGTAAAATACACTTGAAAAGGTTAATGCTATATTTTTCTGCAATGAGGGAATTGTTTGATCTTGATGCCTTCAAAAAAGAGAAATAGGGAGCTGGCCTGGTGGCATAGTGGTTAAGTTCGCACGCCCTGCCTTGGCGACCCAGGGTTTGCATGTTCAGATCCCAGGTGCAGACCTACTGCCACTTGTCAACCATGCTGTGGCCGCATCCAACATAAAATAGAGGAAAATTGGCATAGATGTTAGCTCAGCAACAATCTTCCTCAAAACAAAAAGAGGAAGAACGGCAACAGATGTTAGCTCAGGGCCAATCTTCCTCATAAAAAAAAGAGAAATCATACAGGAATTTAAGGGCATTTCTCTGGATCATATAAACAATGTTGCCTGCAAGTAATCAGCACTGGGATCACGCTTATTTGGCATATTTATAAATCATCTGAATGAAGGAGTATATGGCGAAATTCCAGATTGGCAAAACTACCCAAGCTCCTCCAGGTAGTGAAATGCCAAGCTGGCTCATATAAATGCAGAAAGATAACACAGGGCTATATGAGTGGGCAGAAGGATGGCAGACAGCCTTCTGCATGGACAACTGTAAGATAAGGAGTTTAGGGAGAAATAATTCAAACCATCCTTCTTAGATTAACGGGCTTTGAACTATCAGCTGTAACAAAATTAAGAGATTTTACAGTCAGTATATATTTTGGTCCCTAGTTATTCCTACTGTAGCGAAAAGGCAAGCCAAAAATCAAGTGTGCTTAGAAAGGGCCTTTTCAAAGGAGAACTAAAAGAAGAAAACAGTATCCTGCTCGAATGTAAAGCCCTGGTTCACTTACATCTGGACTCCGGTGAGCAGTTTGTTCAACGAACCTTAAGCAGTTGTGCTAGGGTAGGAGAAGTTTCAGAGAAAGTCAACCAAAATGATCAGCGGCACAGAGAGCTGCTTTCTGAAAACAAACTGCAAAGATGAGGATGCTTCAGCTTGGGCAGGGGAGGGTTTATACATCATAGGAGCGTGGTGCATGTGGACATTCACGTTGATTAACATTTACCATCCAGTCATCGACAGACATGGGTCAGAGAGTGGATATAAAAGGCGTAAAGCATAATGCTAGTTTAAAATCTAAATCAATTTAGGCAGAAAGCCCAATAGGCTAACTGATAAATAGGCAAAAAAAATTCAAGGTGGCATGAGATGAGTGCCAAAGAAATGCCCACCTCTCCCCCTTAAAACTTGGAAAGAAAGACTTTTAACAAAAATCATTTACACAACGGCTAGTATACTTTGGGAACTAATTACTCAACAAGAGTGGTTATATCCTGGAACTACACATGGGCAGGGAAGGGATAAATACATTTTTTAAGAATGGATTTATAATATGTTGTTTTAAAAAGTCAGTAATATTTGGGGGCTGGCCCCGTGGCCGAGTGGTTAAGTTCGCGCACTCCGCTGCAGGTGGCCCAGTGTTTCGTCAGTTCAAATCCTGGGCGCGGACATGGCACTGCTCATCAGACCACGCTGAGGCAGTGTCCCACATGCCACAACTAGAAGAACCCACAACGAAGAATACACAACAATGTACCGGGGGGCTTTGGGGAGAAAAAGGAAAAAATAAAATCTTAAAAAAAAAAAAAAAAAAGTCAGTAATATTTGGAGTTATGCTCAAACTTTGCAGTTTCCCTTGGAGTAGAACAAGCTTTGGAAATGGTATACCTGATTGAAATCCCAGAGCCACCACATACTAGCTCTTGGATAGGCAATTTGGCCTCTCTGAACCTCAGTCTCTTCATCTGTAAAGCAAGAAGCACCCCTTCCAGAAAGGAGTGTTGGGAGGATTGAAAAGGAGGGGTAGCATTTGGAAAGCTCCTGAAGGGGTGGGGACTGAGGCTCTTTGCAAGTCTTGGTTCTCTGTGTCATCTCTTCTACAGTGTGCCCTTTGCAGTACTGTCGGACTCAAAATCCCAGCCTGGGAGACTCTGAGTCTCCTCCAAGTAGGCAGCACTTGATTCTAACCCTTGTTTGCAACTTTTATCTAGATTAACATTTGTTCTTTCATATTCATTGAACCCCTATTATTTCAAGCATTGCTTTAGGCATTTGGGAAATAATAGTGATAAAGATATACCAGGGGCCTCGCTCTAGGGAAGCTGCCCTGGGGGAGAGGGGTACACAAACACTACATCTGGAAATAAAGTTACTTCAGAGCATGATAAAAAGAGGCTCACAGGGTAGAGCGTGACGGGGGTTGAGGGCACAGTTCTTTCAGTGAGGAGGTGGGGGAAGGCTTTTGTGAGAAGACACCACTTGAGCCATATCGGAACGATGAGAAGGTGTCATTTGAAGATTTTGCAGGGAGCATTCCAGGCAGATGAATGAAGAGGCATAGAGGCCACAAGGCAAGAATGAGCATGGAATGTTCAAGGAATAGAGAAGACGTGTGAGTGAGCATCCTGAATGGAGGGGAGAGAGGCAGGGACACACAGAAAGACAGAACAACCAGCCCGGTTGGGCCTTGAGGCCAGGTCAGAACTCCGATTTATTCTAAGAGCAATAGGAAGCTATTGGAGAGTTTTCAACTGGTCAGGGGTAAGACTTGACTGATCCTTTTGAAATGTCTTGTGGCTGCTGAGTAGAGAATGGGACTCTAGGGCCGCATGAGTAAAGGGAACACTGTCTCTCTTTCTCTTTCTGCTCCCACTACTCAGCCACTCTAGCCTTTCTCCAGGCTATTCCCATCTTTCTGGACTCGAGGGGTCACACTGATTTCATACCACATCTCTCACGGTTCAGCGGTAACTTTGCACAGATCTCTTTTCACTCCTTCATCTTTTAGGATGTATAAAAATTATTTTTCTCAGGGGCCAGCCCCATGGTGTAGTGGTTAAGTTCTGTGTGCTCTGCTTCAGCAGCCTGTGTTCATGGGTTCAGATCCCAGGCACAGACCTACACCAGTCGTCAGCCATGGTGTGGCAGCAACCCACATGTACAGTGGAGGAAGATTGGCACAGGTATTAGCTCAGGGCTAATCTTCCTCAAGCAAAAAAAGAGGAAGATTGGCAACAGCTGTTAACTGAGGGCTAATCTTTCTCAGCAGAAAAAAAAAATTATTTTTCTCAAATGAAACATTTAACCCAAATATATGTCATTTCAGGTTTTAAAAATCAGTTTGATTGGCCACAGGAAACGTATTTTGGCATCTCTGGGAGACAGGCTGCACGACGATCCACCACAGAAGCCGCCTCGGTCCATCACCCTCAGGGTAAGTGCCTAGTGTGTTCACAGGGGTTGTTCCCCACTCTTATCCTCAAAATTATTTTGTGCAATAAAATAAAATGGCTGAAGCAATGGATCAGGAAGTACAGGCTGTTTTCCATGGAGCTTACCTTATCTGTATAAAAAACAATCTCACTTTTGATTGGGTTTTATAAGATAAGATTTATTTTTCTCGATTGGTTAAATACATATTTTTGAGATTTAGATACACATCTGACAGACCATCACCTTTAAGGAACCACTCCCGCTACTCCCATCCCACACTCCCATCTACACCAGGAGAGAGGAAATGAGTTTTCTGTCAAACTCCTCAAACCCACAGAAAGAAAATCGACCAAGGACCACAGTTAAGTAAAGATCAATTTGAAATTAACCTCAGGGTCTTCTGTTTTCAAAGTAAATATTATTCAGCTTTACCCACTTCAAAATTAAGAATAGAGAATCTAGAAGTTTATTTAATAAACTATGTCAGCTATGTTTTAGAATTATGGGGCAGACAAACTAGGGAGAAAGCCCAAAGGAAGAGGGAAATATAGTGTAAGGGGAAGGAGGGCAGGGAGGAAAGAGCAGAGAGAAAGAGAAAACAAGAGAGATGATTACCAGGCAAAATGGCGGCAGGAAGGAGTAGCTGGCAGTCACTGGATTTCATGGGGCCCATAAGAACTTTTCGAAAATTTATCGTAAAGCTGGAATCTCCCTGACCAGTTGGAGAGATCCAACTCTGTTCTATTTAGCCCTGCACTTGCTTGCTTCTGGTTCCCTTTCTGCAAGTGTCAGAAAAGGTAGTGATAATAAATGAACACAAGCATGGTACTTTGAAGTAACCACCAGCGATGACATGCAGTAGAATGTGAACTTCACTCTTATCAGTGAACTTGAGCAGACAGCATCACTCCTGTCCATACAAGAAGAGGGTTGGGCTGGAGAGGCCCAAAAATAAGACTTTGAGTCTGATTCCATTTTAAAGGACAAGAAAATACACAAAGATTTCAGGGAATGCAAGAGAATTGGTCGCAGGAGGGAGCCATGAGGAAAATTGCTTACTGGGGTAACTGGGATACACTGGGATATTTGGAGGCTAGTTGGGCTTTGGGAGCAGTGAAAGTAGAAATAGGACCTGTTTTTTTTCCCATCAATAAGAGGAGCTTCAAGTAAATTTAGGGGAAGTGAGCCTAGAACAGGATTGTTGTCTTGCCTTCATTTTGCTTTACAACAGGGGAGGGAGACATAGGCAGCATCAGTGTAACCATCCTAAAAAGACTCCTTAGAGGAGTAATTTTCTGCTACTTATTCTACTCCCCTTCTCCTTATGAACCTCTCGCCCTGGCTCCCTGGAAGAGATTTAGGGGAACAACAGAATGATCAAAGACAGAGATTCCTAAGAGAAAGCGCAGGACCTTAATCTGTCGAGGGAGGTCCAGAGCATCCAGAGAGAAGTGGCCTGGAGAGTCGGCATGACCCAGTCCTCCTCTTCCTTGCGAACACTAGAGCCCAGCTCTCTGCCACCCCTTGTCTTACTTCTGACCAGCTTCCCTCAGCTTGAGTCATTTTTGCTGTTGAAAAGCATCCTCTGTCGTTATAGGCATTGCTCTATCTGTACATGTGACATTCTGTGTCCTCACTGTGTCCTCTTCCCTGCCTGATTGTCAGACCACTCTTTGGTGGACTGTCAAGACCCATTGGTTCCCATTTTACCTTTCTCATCATGGCATCTACCATGGTGAGGACATTCTGTCCCATGAAGACTCAGTTCCTTCCCTTAGAAGCACACGTGATGGTGTCAGGGATGCCCAGCATATGTGTGCCTCTCTCTTGAGATCATCCATAGTGCTGGTTTAAGAAAACAGCCTGATTCTTTGTACTTTAAACCTTTGACCTGAAATACTTTGGAGAAAAAGTATTGACTAGATCATGCCATTAATAAAATGGTGGAATGTCATCCATTCCTTGGCAGTTGATTCAAAAATGACACCCCACCCCCACAGTTTGTCTTGTCAGTATTTCACAATTTTGAAACCAAAGGTTAGCCACAAGAACATGGTATTTATTTCATGATGTATTTCCATTCAGGAACCCAGTGGTAATCACACTCCTCCTCAGTTGTCTCCATCACTTAGCCAAAGCACTTACACCACTGGTGGCTCCCTAGACGTTCCTCACATTATCATGCAGGGCGATGCGAGGAGGAGAAGAAATGAAAACTACTTTGAGGATATTCCCCGATCAAAACTGGAGAGGCAGATGGCCCAGGTAAGGTGTTAAGAGCCTCTGTGATATTTTTACCTTTCACCCATGTCAAGTAATGCATTCTAATATTGAACAGTAGCTTACAATGAATGCCTGTTGTCCACACCTAACTGAAATTTTACTATTTTATGCCTTGGCTTTCGTTCCCTACTCACTTGAACTAAACTGAAACAGACTTTTCTGGGAATGGAATGTATACACAGATCCTTGTTATCCATCCTTACTGAAGAAATTATGTCTGATCTCATTGCAACCAGAAAGTCTTTGCCCTAAAGGGAATAATACTGTGTAAGAATCAAATCATAATGAAAATGAATAATAAAAGTCTAGATTATAAAATGTAAATTTTATGAATTGGTTGGATGACAGGGCAGAAGTCGGGAGGAAGTATTAACTCCTCAAGTTGTTAATTTCCTCCCGAGTTGACACATTTGTATAGAATTGTACTACTGGGATGAGCTGCATCATTTCATATTGTCACCTCGAGTAATTGAAAATGGTGATGCTGCCTGACACAAATAACGGAAAAGAGAGATCTGTCATGCTCAGACCTCTCCATGATTTTGGTCTAGATGTCCATGTCTGCCCTGTCCGCAGAGAGACATCAGATAGATGTCTAGCCTGTCCTCTGATCACTGCTCAGAAACTTGATCCAGCCTTAACCAAACAGTAGCACTATTCTTAAAGCACATTCAGATGGGCAGCCAGCTCTGCAGTTTTACCCTGAGATTCAAAGATATGGATTTGTTGACAACTATTGGCAGAATCAACTCTTTTCATCCTCATTCTAGGTTCAGACTGACGTGTTAAGAGGCTTCTCTCTGCCTCCCACACCTAAGATGAGAATCTCGAGGTGAAAATTCGACTGTAATTGCTTTGCCTTGGTTGTTAAATATTTTTCTCAACTGTTTGGTGAGATTCTGTTTTTAAAAGCCTTTGGTAAACATTCTGTGCTGCTGCTCACGAAAGAAAAATGTGAAGAGAATGTTCTGGAAACCATGGCTGTTCTGCCTGCAAATGCCCTGGAGAGACAGGTTCTAGGATACTGCGTCTCCTTTCAGCTCCTTCAGTATTAAATGGTTCTCAGTGTTCTTTGCGCAGGGAATGGCAATGTTGGGATTATGGAGAACATTTTATTCAAGGGAGATGAAAAATGTAGGAGAGACAAGAAAAGAATAATTTTCCCTTTCTCTCTTGTTAAGTATTGTGTCTTAATCCTTATTACTGTTTTCACTGACGTTCTTTTAAATAAAGAGGCTGAAAGCTTTTTCCCCACACCGTTCATGTATTTCTGCTGTTTGTTAGCATGGGTGGATCACATACGTAGTTAAATTTCTCTAGTGATGGCATTTCAGAGATGTGGTTTGTTTTACCCTTGAGCCATTTGTCTTTATATATTAATACAAACTGGGTCTTTTCTGAACCCTGCTCTTCGCTGGGTAAGGGAGGAGTTTGTTAATGAGCATTAGGTGTTATCAACTGTGCCAACTTCAAGAACAGAATCACCTATCTGAGCTGCTCATATAATTTACGAAATTTCTCCACATAGTACAGGTTTTTCAAAGAGGAAATTAATTACTCCACTGCCTGTGTATGAAGCCTCAGAGGTACTCTGGCAAGATTGCTCTCTTACTTTCTCGTTGAGATTCAAAAGCTAGGGGCAGTAGTACCTCTTGAATAGCCTGAATCTTTTTTCTGTCACTCCTATCAAAATGCATCCCTTTCAGGAATTGTCTCGCCCTTGAGAAAATGGAATGACCTTGTATCTGGCCAGGTGAGAAAGGCCCAAAACCAGAAAAAGTGAGATAAACAGGGAGATGGGATGTGGTGAGCAATGGAGGGTATGCGTGAATGTGATAACTTACCTGTGCTGTTCACTATGATCCAGTGACTGATGTGGACATACGCCTCCATCAGCAACCGGGAGCTTATTAGAAGCTTTCTAAAATCCTGCTGCTCAATACAGCGCTTTTGCTGCAGAGAAAATAGGAGACGGCACTACAGGAATCTAATCAATAAGAAAAAGCCAGTCTGGGATTGCAACTCTAGGTTGTATTAATTGCAGTTTTTTATTTGTTTGTCTTGAGAATGTTTCCTAGTCTAGAAATGCCAAAGATAGTAGAGAAATGAATGCACACCTTTTAAAAATAGTGCCATTTCAAAGCTTTAACCTGTCAAAATATGAAATACTCAGTGATTTTGTTTTGGAACGGTTTTATTTATGTGATTTTTCCACCAGTCAGTTGTTTTTCTTATTCTTCATTTTTTTGGTCATATGCTGCAATAATTTTTAAAATCTGTTTGCTTTTTTAACAACCTGTCATTCTCTCTCTAGACCACATTCTTCCCCGAAGTTATGTGCTCAGCCAATGAAGTTGAGTCTTCCTAAAAACTTGAATGAACAATTAAAATTCCTAAAAGCGAGCAACTGGTCACACCTCCTTCCAACCAGGAGCTCAGTCCCTGAGGTTCTTTCCCAAGGGGTTTCTCCCAAGGGGCTTACTGTAGCTTGGCTAATGCTCACCCAGCAGTCTGTTTCTCATTAAGCCACCGACGTCCGTCTTCAGACTCTTACTTATTAAAAGAAGGGAAAATGCAGTTAAGCGAAAATCACCAGGGCAGATCCGTGTTCTCAGACACCCCTCTACTTTTTCACATTTAGCAGAGCCCCCACCAGAGTGATTTGGAATTCTAGCTGTGGGCCAGAAACCTTAAGTTCTTGGTGGTTGCAGTAATTCAAAGGAGTGTTGCCGTCTTCAAGTCTGCTCAACAGACGTTTGGAAGTGCTTTGCTTAACTTGGAAAAACCAGTGCTTAGAGTTCAACTGAGATAAATTTAATGTCCATTCTACCCATTACGTTTGTTTGTTGGCAAATATTTTTTAAAAGTAACAGTGAGGTTGGTGTTTAATTACTTGTTTTTAATTTGAACCAATATTAAAAATACCTGTCTTGGAATACAGAGGATGTTAAATATTGTGGCTGTTTCCTTTTATTCTGATATAAGCAATATTCTGGCATCAAATTGTCTTAAATGAATATGTGAGAGACAAAATTGAGTTCAATGCTAATAACATTTTTTAAACCACAGAATGTAATGATATAAACGCATCTAAACAATAGGCTTCTTATCATGCTGAAAATAGCTTTTCCAGCCTATAATTCTAAATTGGACTCCTTTGCTCTGAAGTTCTGAAATGCTCCCATATTTCCGTACCCCTAATAAATAAATGTGGCATTTGCATTTGTGGCATAATACCTGAATGCATATAAAGCTTTTAAAGTTTCAAAGGACTTTCACATCTGTTATCTCATTTTAGCACAAACAAGGCATCCTACACAACTATTCATGTGCGTGTAGCACATGGCAGATCAGCTTTTAAACCTGAGTTCTGTAGAGAAGAGATAGTAAATGAGAATATGGGAAGTATATCAGAAGGAGGAAAAATACTTCCAGGATTTAGAGCCTAACCACAATCTTTAGAAATTTTCTTGAATGATATTTAGGAGAAGTCCAAGTACTCTTAAAATGAACACTAAGGGAGAGTAATGGAATTAATAAAGTTTAAGGACTGTCACTGACTGGTTACCCCAAGGAACTCAAGGTGGATTTAGAAGCATTTAACTATTTTTCCAAATTGTTTTCTTCCTTTTGTTATATTAAGGAGATGCAATCACCAGCCACCCTGAACCAGGCCAAGCCTCACCACAGGAGCTGTGCCTCTGACCTTTGCCTTATTGTTGATACTAAGGTCTCTCCAGGAGGAGCTTAGGCCTTATTATGTAACCTGCAGTGTACGTGGAAGCATGTTTTCCGACTGAGCCTGCACAAGCAAATACCCACCTCTCCCCTTGGAATATTCATTCCCCATCCGAAATAAATGTCCCTGTTTCCCTTTGTTTAAGGAGGCCATGACTTTGGAAATGATTCCACATGGTCTCCTATTTGCTGCAAATATACTTTACTTTTTGAGACAACTACTCCTGTCATTTAACTCGCCCAGAGGTGAACCCCACTTTGGTTCAGTAACACGACCACATTCTCCAAACAGAAAATACTTATGGAAAAATGAAATAATACTTCTGTTTTCACAAAATAAAAAAGACTCCCAACAGCAAGAGAAATACATATCTTTGTGCAAACTTTACCTCAATATTAATGAGGGAAACCCATAATGTAGAAGTCCTTGTGTTTTAAATGCTCCCATCTTAATAAAAATATCAGTATTGCCTGGGGCAGTTACCTTATCTGATGCACAGGAACCTGAGAAGCAGGCAGTCTCCACATTTAAAGACAAGGAAACTGAGAAACCGCTTGACTTGGTGCAGGTCACACAGCCTGGAAGAAACCAAACCAGAACTTGCCGGGGGCAATATGAAAGCTTTGTCTAAATTGCTCCTAAATCATTAGAAAGTTGATTCAGTTGAACTTATTTCGGTTGAAAGTCTTGTATTTCTCAGTTTTACTTCATCAGTATGACTAGGTCAATTACTTCTTTATTTGAAAGCATTTTATGTATTATATTAGTTCTACAAATGTTCGTTCTTTTGATATTGTTAAAGGAAGACATATGGGAACTGAGCCCTATAGAAGCCCTGCCATGGCCAGATCCGTGCCGGGGGTGCCATGTGCAGAATCTTGTTTAATCCTCACAACAGCCCATTGGATGCTCAAGGAAGGCCAGGGGAGTGAGTGCTTTGCCTCATGGCTGGTCTATGGCAAGCCTGGCCCCATGCTCTGTCTGCCTGACCATATCCTGGTTCCTCTGTGGCTCCTGTTACCCTCTGGGCTGCCTCTGTTTTAAAATGATACTGGTTCAACAAATACTAATTTCCCATATGCTACAGTAGATGACACTTATATAGGCACAGCAAGCGGAACGAGGATAAAATCACTAGTAGTTTAGTGGAAACTTGGTGAGTCAGCTCATGGTTATCAGCATAAAACCCTTTAAATGCAAAACTGCAGTGTTTATTCATTGATCCTTTTAGTGGGGACCCTCC